ACCCCCGACATACTGGGGCGGTGGTGCAGGAACAGGAACGGTTTCAACCACCATCACCGCAATGGATGATCTCGAATTTGGAAGCCACTGTGCCGATTCAGATAGGGTCCTGACACTTGTCCCCGAGGCGGACATTCACGGCAAGGAGAAGCTCGTGCTGAAGGAAACGAAGAGTATGGAGGATGCTGCTGAAAGAGTGCGGACCGCAGCAGGGTCAGCCATTTCACCCTGATGGGGCTTTTGTGAGGAGTGAGATTTCTTCTTAACGCGAGAAAGAGGCATTCAATAGAGATATCCCATGCGTTTGTGCCTTTTGTTTTTCTTTTCTTTTCTTTTACAATTCGCTCTTTTTGTCGCAAGGGGCTTGATATCTCTTGCTCTTCTTTATACTCTATCGAGTCTATTCTTAGCCGTGTGTTGCTCTATTTTGTTCCTTTTGTATATATTCAAGTTTACCCATTCCTTAATAGATTACCGAGCAACATACAAAGCATGGCTTGGATGTGCAATGAACTGCACGGAGAAGTATTCGAGGTGAGTAAAACAAAGGAAAATACATGTATCCTGAGACATGATTGCATTGGAAACTGAACAGTTCTATAGAATGTATATATAGATATAGGCATTACAGATCCAACGTCGGAATCCCCGCCAGTGCATACTTATCGATGGAAACATTTCCAAATATTCCATAAGAGAGCATCAGAAATCTGCGAATTCCTTGTCCACCTCCTCGAAGTAGTCGAAAAAGCCCTTGAACAGCTTCACACCTAATCCCGGATCCAAGCTACCGGTAGTCGCACGGATACTGTGCATACTCAACTGCGGGATCCCTACATCAATGGCCCTCATGCCAATGCGAGAACTGGTCATAGGTCCAATAGTCCCGCCACTACGGGAGTCATTACGGATCTGGAAGACCTGCAAGGTCGAGCCACAATGATCAGCAACACGTTTGATGAACCCGTAGCTCACACTGTCTGTTGTCATATGACCGTTAGAGTCGGCCGAGACGGCCACGCCGACGTTCAGACGGGGAGCATGGTTCTCAAGGTAGACATTAAGGAAGTTCGGGTTGACCGCATGGATGACGTCCGAAGACACGAAGAAGCTGTTCGCCACAGTTTGAGACAGCACGTTGGGACCGTAATTGGGCGAAAAGGCCTCCGTAATACGTTCTATGACGCTGCTCATGAAGTTGGATCGCGCTCCCTGGCGAAGCAGGCTCCCAATTTCCTCGTCGTCAAACATACCGACCATCTTGATAGAGCTAGTTGAAGTGCTGTCGGGCGAGGCAAGCAGAGCTTCCTGGGCGGCATAACAGCAGAGCTTATCGTCAATGCGACCGGCAAAAATCAGGTCCTTGTCCAGGCCACCAACTTGTGCTGGTTGACTGTCATACAGCTCCAGCTCCCAGCTGATAATCGAGTTGTAGTCTCTGATACCAAGTTCCTTGGATATGACTTTGACAAGCTTTTCTGGTTGCGTGGCTGCAAACGTACCGGGCTTGATCCCGCTATCTTGGTCCGTCTTGGATAGGACTTGCTGCTGGAAAAGATCGGAGTTATCAACGCCAATGATGGGCACCATCTGAGTCTCTTTGTTGAAGGGACCTTGCGAGGGAGCTCCGAAATGTGGTGCCAGGGTTGGGATCCGAGCAATGGGCCAGTCCAATTTGACTAATTTGGACTCAACCCTCCCGGTGTTGGAGTCTTGGACCAAAACACGGCCACCGATTGAGAGATCGCGATCCCACCATGTGTCACTCAGAGCACCTGCGTAGGGCGCGACTCCGAGTTGACGAAAGCCAGCCTTGTTGGGCAGCTTGGACACGGGCTTCAATTTGGCGGTGAGTGCATCAATATGACCTGCAACAATGGCCATTCCATTGCCACTTTTATAATCTCTTCCAATTGAGAATGAGATGAAAGCACTACCATTTCGAGTGACGTAGTACTTCCCACCCTTCTCTAGCTTGGAGATCCAGGTGTCACGCTCGGGAAGGCGCTTGTATCCCTGGCTTTCGAGCTGCCTGGTAAAACCGTCAACTGCATGAAAGATCGTGGGATTTGCTGTCATAAATTCGCAGTATGGTTTCGTGTAATCTTCCGGGGTGACGGGGTCAGTCCTCGCCACTGGGGTCGCAATGGTGGCTGGGGAGGGCTCAGGAAGCTGGGCCGACAGGCGATAAGCCATGGCAGAATCACGGAGATCAAGGACGCTCCTTTTGGTCATGTCGAAGGCTAGGAGTTGAGATTCCGTAGTTTACAAGCTAGATATCGCGTCGGAATGCGGTTTAGTAGGATCAGTACCAAGGGAAAGGAGGGAGCAAGGAGTATGGGAGGGCTTTGAGGAAGGATGAACGAGGAGAGCAGCTGAGCTAATTGCGGTCACGCCTTATCGGGGAAGCTGATAAACGATCCGGAACACAAACAAACCAAACCTCAGGCACGTCGATCCGCCAGGACGGCAGTTCTACGTCACATGCTCAATGATGCAATTGGATGCATGCTTTGTATAAAGATAACAACTAGGACTCGTATCCATTTACTCCGTACATTGAAAAAGTTTTGAGATGATGGGGAACTCAAAGCGCAGAGTATAAAACAGCGACACTCAAAAAAAAAAAAGAAAAAAAAAGAAAAGAACCACGCCAAGAAGCGAACATGGTATGTATACTATTTAGCCTGCAGCGGTTGAATCAACTCTATCGTCTCTTAACTGCTCGAACCAACATACGCATTCCAGTCTACACTGCCACCCGCACATTCCTCAGTAATTGCTGGGCCCGTGGTTGTAACAATCTCCCGGTTACGTCGCAGGATAGAGATTCTGACAGGCCCTGTCTGCCCCTTGAAGGAGAAAGATCCATGATTGACGCCAGGTGCGGCATCAAGTGCAGAATGTGGACCTGATCCAATTTGGACATGGACCTCGCTAGGCTCAGTGACGAATGCGCTAACAAACACCTTGTCCTGAGAGAGTTCATGGGGCTTCATTTCTGGCTGACCAATGCTGGGGTTGTTACCGGTTGTACCGTCGGCGCTACCCGACTGCCCAGGGTTCAATCGATACCAGTATACAAACTTGTCTGCATAGGATATGGGGTACTTCTGATGGAGGGAAGTGCTGGCTGGGTTACTGTGGTGGTTCGCGATGTTCCGTCTGTACCCGTCGATATAATGAGGCAGAAAAGTTCGCCATGCATCATGAGGGTGATTAGTGATGTATCGCGAAGCCCCTTCGGGCACTCCAGCCTCGTAGATTGGGCCGATGTAATGCGTCTCTCCATAGTCATTCCAACTCAAGATCTGGTAAATATAAGCCTACGGAAATTGCAGATAATCATGAAAGGTGACCATACCTGGACAAGAGGCGGTTGCAATTCAATGACCTGTTTCCAACGATAGTGCCATAGATCATCTCCACGCCAGAGCCAATTCTTTCTCCACCGCGGGAGATTCGTGTAGAACCAGGGAGCGACGGGCATCATATATGGCTTCCCTGAAAGAGCTTTCATCCACTCCAGATCGTTTGCCACCTTCATGTCTTCTGCACCAACTGGCCAAGCATCCCAGCTAGAAGCACCATCGATATCATTTAGAACACCGCGTATACCGGTTGGTCCCTTACTCGTCCAGCAGGGGATGAATAAACAACCCGTAGCGGCCTTGATATCCGGCCAGTCACCCATTTTGTCGACACCTTCAAATGTCGATACCAGTGGCTTCCCCTTGTAGTAGAACTGCGCCTTTCGATTCTTATAAGAATTGACGATAGCAATAACTTGATCTATCGGCCAGGGTCCACCTGACAGGTAGTCAAACGAAATGAATAGGGAAAAGTTTCCAATCTTCTCAGCAGCGTCATATGCTTTTTGTAGGGCTCCATCGGTGTGATGGTCTTGCGGTGCAACGCTCAATGCAAACCCATCAATGTGGGCTTTCTGCGCCTCTACAATGTCCGACTCCCACTGATCTGACGTCATGTAATACGCATTGCCGATCTAGTGTCCGTAAGCACAGCACGTCCTTTTGTGAGGAGGAAGCGTTTCTCTTACGATGAAGTGGGCGAAGACATTATGCGAGTCAGGCAGCGTGGGGACGCCCTGCGGCGGATGTTGAGCAACAACGGGTGGCACTGCTAAGGGAAAAGATAATTTATGATGAGCCTCCTAGCCTTGATGTGAAACACAAACAGGTCCAGTTTATGCTGAGTTTTCCAGTCAAATTTTACATACTAACATCAGAGAAACACAAGTCTTAAATGGCCATCCGTGTCTTTGAGCAACGCGCGTGGTAGGAAAGAAAATACTTGGGTACAAAAGCATGAGGATCTTACATACATCAAGTCAAAGAAACCGTAGTTTTGGAGATGCTGTAGTGTAGAATAGTATAGGAGAGATGCAATTGGGCCGGCATCTCTTCTAGGGAATGACGGGAGTGCAAGCGGAAATTCACTGACCTTGTATGACTGGGGTTTGCTGGTGGTGGTGGTGATGGTGAAGGGGTTTCTCTGGGGTATGGACATGGTCGAGAATACGATCGAGATGGTGTTTCATTGTGGAATTTGACACTGGAGCACCACGTGGCTGCGAGGAAATTTCAGAAGAAGAGTGAGAAATCGATGATGGACACTTCAACAATACAGTATGCCGAACAGATTCAAATGGTATGCAAAAGCTTGAGATATTCCAAGCGCCAGTGAGGGGTTAATGACATTTTTAAAAGGACAGGAGCCCCCTCATCTGACCGTACAGGACCTTCTCGGGGACCGAAGAACAACATAGATATCGCCACGAAGCATGGGCAGATAGGATATGGTCTATCAGGTAGACACACATACCGATATGCATCCATTTAGGTCTCGACTGGACGGATTTCCCCTTTCGTCTTGTCGATCGCACTGAATTGACCAGTTGTTCCACTCACATGGCCGACACAGTTTCTTGGGCATTGGAGAGGGATAGTCAAATTTTGTTTTTTTGGCAATGCTTTTCTGATCTATCACTAGCTCTGTGATATCGGATGGTTATCATGCATGTAAGCCCAGCTTCCCCCCGACCAACGCTCACCCTCGAGTGGGTTTGCAGTTGGCGTCATCAACTTCAGGGTAGGTCCCACCACCGCGCGGTGTGAAACTCACGCTTGAAAAAATTGATGTAAAACAAAGATTGCCGTAAGTTCGTTCCATTGTTGAAATGTATCGTTATTACCCCATAGGAAATGGCTATGGCTATGGTTGGGCGTTCCGAGACTTTTGCCCCAGGCCGACTCATAGTGATGTCAGTCCTGATGATGTACTCAAATAACCACTCTTGAAATGCCACCTTTTAATCCATGCGAGCACCGTCCTCAATCAGAGCTGGAGGTTAGTCTGAGAGGTCTTTTAACTATTCCAATAGCACAAAATGGCCGTATCCCAAGCTGCAAATATCGTGGAAAGGGTGGTTGGGCATAGTGATAATGCCACCGTCACAACCGATGTGAGTAACTATAATAAGGGAGCTTATGGGCAGGAAATGGGAGAGAAGATCAAGGCCACGACATGGCAGGGAAAGAACAGTGTCCAAATCGGTACGTATTGAAGCGTAATCAAGAAAAGGCCAGCCTGACAGGTTAGCAGTCGAAATGCCAAAACCAAGAGTTGTGGATGAAGGCGATGTGATAGTCAAGGTAACTGGTAGCACAATTTGTGGAAGTGACCTTCATCTATACCATGGTATGAATTCGCTCGAGCGGCTATTGATGAATGTGCCGGCTCATCCCTTGGTTTAGGTGTCATACCCCAATTAGAGAAGGGCGACGTTCTCGGCCATGAATTCTGTGGCGTTGTCGAAAGCGTGGGACCAACTGTGAAGAAGGTTAAGGCTGGAGATCGCGTTGTTGCAGCTTTCCCAATTGCTTGTGGAGAATGCAGAAATTGTAAGGAGCAACTGACGTCAGCTTGTGAACGGACGAATGAGAACTCCATTACGAATGCGCTATATGGTAAACGGACAGCAGGTACGTTACTTGTATGCGAAAGTCTCAAGTCAGTCGAAGCTTATCCTTGTCACCCTAGGAATTTTCGGTTATAGCCATTTTACTGGGGGCTTCGCGGGAGGCCAAGCAGAGTACGTTCGCGTGCCTTACGGCGATATTAATCTACTGCAGCTCCCAGCGGACGTTCCAGATGAGAAAGGCCTCTACCTTTCAGATGTCCTGGCAACCGCGTATCATTGCGTTGTTGATACGGGTGTGAAGAAAAATGATGTTGTAGCCATTTGGGGCGGAGGCCCAATCGGCCAGATGGCTGTGGAATACAGCTTTAGCCAGGGGGCCACTCGTGTCATCCTTATCGATGGAGGAGAGGGAGCATGGAGGTTGGATTTTGTCAAGAGCAAGATACCAAAGCTTGAGACAATAGATTTCAGCAACCTACCAAGGGGAGAATCAATCACCTCCCAGCTGAAAAAGATGGTATCTGGAGGGCCAGATGTGGCTCTAGAATGTGCCGCGGGAGAGTACGCTAAAGGATGGGCACATTACTTCGAAATGCTACTGGGAATGGAGACAGACACCTCGGAAATTTTGAATGAGATGATCACTGCTGTCCGGCCGTTTGGACGAATCGGTGTAACCGGTGTCTATGCTGGCTACGTGAGTAGAACCACCGTATTCTGTAGCTTTGCCCTCCCTTATTGACTAATCGCCATACAGACGAACCACTTCAACATTGGTGCTCTCATGCAAACTGGTATCCGGTTCATTGGCAACGGCCAGGCACCAGTCCAGAAATACTGGGAATACCTCTTGGAACTCATACGGCGGCAGGAGATTAATCCATTGGACATGGTAACCCACCGTGTCCCATTGGAGAACATGCCAGAATTGTACGCGGCGTTTGAGAGACGAGACAAAGGTATGCAGAAGGTCTATGTGCAGACCAGGTTCTCATCACCTCCGGCGGAAGGATCACCCCAGCTGACCGAGCTTTGAACGCATAATTCTACGATTACTTGGGTTTTTATATGCGAAGATTGGCATACATGTAATCTAAACACACCAAACGGGAGAGAGAGAGAAAAAAAAACGAAAAAAGAAAAAGGAAAAATTTTCGTGCTATTAGATTGGCATTTAATCGGCGAGGTTCGGCAGAAGGTAACTCGTCCAGCCAATGTCAACAAGTATAGTACAGGATATGTACGTGGAGTGCTTTCGGCTTTCCCGCAAATAGTAATCAAGCCCGAGTGTAGAGCATATTTACTGGATCCAGAATGTAAAGACTATAGGTCTCTAATGCTGGCTTCAATGCACTATAAGTATAATTTATCACATGAGGAAATAGCTCGCCTATTCCGCTTTTTTACATTCCGCACTCTTTTTTTTTCCGCAAGGGACCCGGAGGAAGCATATTGCCATGCACAGTTTGCCTACGAAAGTCGGTCAATCAGATTATCCTTCGTGGTAAAATACCACAGCAGTTTCGGTCCGTGTTTCGCCCGTTTGATTCCGTTGATCGGCATCAAAACCGAACAGGACACAGGTTAATTGAGAAGGCAGACAACGGTGGTTGGGATTTGAAATCCATGATATTAGTAAAACCAAGCAACAATTTTTGCATCCGTCTTCTCTGTAAAGCTTTGGTCCCAGCTATGGCTTAGTGTATTACGGCATCATATAGCCCAATTTGGTAAAGCCGGGATCAGATAAGATCAGATGATGGAGGGATATGAAGTGCCGAATGGAAAGCATTACCATTATAGGTTGCTTTTCTACGGGAAGAAAATGACGGAAGCAAAATAGTATTTCTTTTACTATTCTTTTTCCGTCTTTCTCTCATAGAGAAACGGGTAGCGGAGTACTCTGCAGGACTATCTCAGTCCGAGATAGTGATGGTTTTTTTTTTTTGTAATTCCAATATTGCCATAGCTCTCCGACACTTGAACCGATAAAAGCTGAACCCAAAGCTCGCTCAACCAAACTAGAAGATTATGAATTATATTATTGACTCTTGATAGTAGAAAGGCAATCTATCGTAGTAATCTGCTGTGATATATCATGTGGTTTTGAGGAGAGAGAGGAGGGGGGAAAAAGGAGAAGAAAAAAAAAAGAAAAAAAGGCAAGGAGGCTCGCGGTCACCGCGGGTGAGCAGATTCCACACTGGTGCCGAAAAGAGTATCTATGACTAGTACGTATGTACTCCGTACTCCGTACTTCGTGCCCAGTACCCACCATATCCACCTCATGGTTTGGAGGGAAGAGAAAATTTGAAGTTCCATGGGTTTGAGGATAGAGTCGGAATTGACTGAAGTCTCCACTTCTGACCATGGTCGCAAGCATAAATATGAAATTTTTGTCTTTTCCATAATACGTATTAGTAGTTAATATCAAGATATTAGGAGACCCTGTGTCAGAGGGTGTTGTTCCTTGCGTATAGCTACTACAGCATACGCGGTGCAATTTACTCCAGACTCACTGCAGGGCAGGAGGAAGCTTGAGTTCATACCCTAATAGGTGCAAACCCCAACGTCCCCATTGATTGATAACCAAGGCGCAGATATGGGTCAACGAATAAGAAACCCAAGCGAGTAAGTGACTCCACCTCTCGCCGAAATCGGTGAGACCGCACGATAATCTAATCTGATCCGATCACCTTTTTCCAGTCCTGTTTTCCCCCTCCTCTTCCTCCTCGGCTTCTTTCTTTCCTTTCCCTAATTTTCATCTTGAGTCTCTCTCATTCATTTATACCACCGAGAGATTTTAGGCTCTGGGGAATTGGATCCCGGGGAGAATTGCTTCAAAATTGCACTTCTCACAGCTCACCAATCCATCGTCTCGCTTACTGGCTGCAGGGGCGCACTTCCGCTCTTCCGGCCGTAGCGATCAAGTGACACCACCTGTTGGTCCGTGGACTCTCTTTCCCTACCCTTTCTAACCTTCAGCTTATCTTCTACACCTGCACCCGGGGACATGGCCCGCTGACTTCTACCCAGAATTCCTCTTGAAATAAAGAGGCAATCCTAAATACAATGGCAACTCCCGCACCCTCAATAGCCCCTGCGCCCACTCCAGCTCCGTTGGCTCCCGCAATTGCCGCCAAGCCAACCATTTCACCGTCTCCCGGACCGGGTACACCCGGATCCGTCACCTCCAAGGAATGGGTTATACCACCACGTCCCAAGCCTGGCCGGAAGCCTGCCACAGATACGCCGCCTACTAAACGTAAGGCGCAGAATCGTGCGGCCCAAAGAGCGTTCAGGGAACGAAGAGCCGCCCGCGTCAATGAGCTTGAAGACCAAATTAAGAAAATCGAAGAAGAGCACGATATTCATGTGGCAGCGTTCAAAGAGCAAATTTCAAATTTGTCTCATGAAGTCGAACAGTGCCGGAATGAAATGACATGGTGGCGCGACCGATGCCATGCCCTGGAAAAGGAAGTCTCTGTAGAGAGAAGCGCGAAGGAAGCCCTTGTTAAAGAGTTTCGGTCGTCGCTCTCAGATAAGAATGCCCCTGCTGGTAGGGCACCTTTGACTCGTTTATCTGCCAAAAACTCCATCTCTGGACGAGCTACCAATGAAAGGTATTCGCCGAGCAACGCCAACAGCGGTAGTGACCATGATGAGAGGGAGGAAGTGCCACTGGGCTGCCCTAGTTGTTCTTCAACACATTGTCAGTGCATTGAAGATGCATTTGCAATGCCGGGCGTTGAGTCATTGCAGTCTAAGTGTCTTAGCACCACTGGACAAGGGCGTGCCGAGCCTGAGATAAAGCCCGACCCGGAGGAGATGGAAATCGACTTTACCACACGGTTTGCCGCCCCCCAACCACAGGAAGACAATGCCACGGCTGTTTCATCCCCTGCGGTTGATCCGTGCGGCTTTTGCCAGGATGGAACCCCATGTATTTGTGCGGAAATGGCAGCCCAGGAAGAGCAGCGTCGGCAGTCCTTCGAGAATAACCGTCTTGCACCGATTCAGAACTTGTCTCAATTCACACCCCCTCCCTCCGATGGTGATGTTCGCTCTGAAGTCACTCTGCCGCCCATTAGCCAGGCAACCAACCCCTGTGCGAATGGCCCTGGCACCTGCGCCCAATGTCTTGCGGATCCGAAGAGTACCCTTTTTTGCAAGACGCTGGCGGCCTCCCGCTCCGCCAGCGTTGCCTCCTCCGGATGTTGCGGCGGTAAGGGCACCGATGGTGGGTGTTGTCAGTCACGCAGTTCCAATCCTCCGCGTGCTACCGTTGCCAAATCGACATCTGGTAGATCTACGACCCCATCACTGACACTCTCTTGTGCCGATGCCTTCACGACACTGTCACGACACCCGAATTTCTCCCGTGCCAGCGATGAAATTTCCACGTGGCTTCCTAAGCTTCATACATTACCGAATCCGAAGGATGTTGCATCACCCGATCGGTGCTCCTCGAGGGCGGCACTCGAGGTCGAGGCAGCGAGCGTAATGGGCGTCTTGCGCTACTTTGATCGGAGGTTTGCCGACAAATAGGCCGTCCGCCCAAATACGTTCATGAATCTATGCCATATATTTCTTTTAATTCTTTTTCCTTCTTTATGATACCCAAACCTGACTCGTGTCTGAGTTTGTATTATACAACAACCTTTTCTTTTTTCTTTTTTCTATTTTTTTTTTGTTTTTGAACTCATGATGGGGGCAGGATGCATTTCAGCTTCTAGTATCTTCGATATTCGATGGGATTGGTTTCCTCTAGGCCTTCGTGACGCGCACCGAGGGGACTGAGAAGAGAAATACAAAAAGAAGCAAGGGCTATTTCTTGCTTTCCTTTACGCTTACCTTAAAACAGAGCAGATGGATGGATCGACATGGTATGGGATGGAATGGGATGAATACAATTCACTCCAATGATTAGACGGGTGAATGACTGGCGTTTTTCTACTTACTTTCTTTCTGGGTTGATTTCGGATGACCCCAAAATAAAATTCAGGACGGACATGACTCAAAAGAACATTATGTACGGGTTGAACCGCAGCTCAGATGATAACAATTGTGTTTCGTTCTTTAAAGAAAATTCTACTGGTTTGGGAAATCAAGCTGGAGTCATTTTAAATAGATGGAAAGGGTATTTCTGGGTGGCGATCTGATTGGATTAATGTATCTACCGACCGACATACGAGGTGTATTTTCATCGGTATAGAGATTCCTTGAAACATATGGAACGGTTTAATTGCCACTGCTGTCTGAAATGAAAGACTCTGTATAGGGAGATGAGAAGGCTGATGTACCATGACGCTAATGTTGGACGAGTGATATACATATTTCCCATGTTAAATGGTAGGAATAAAAGGGAAAGGAGGTTCGAGGACCTATCAGAAAGCATGTCGCCGCCGTTGATATCTACAAAATAAACACAAAGAGATCCAACGCCTTCAACCCTTTTGCGCCAGCTAGGTGGGCAAAATAGTGTAGGGTGTAGAGGCAATGGAGAATTGATTAGGGGCAGGACAAGATTGAATAACGAAGAAGGGGAGTGGGTATGAAAACAAGATAAACAGTGGACTAAGTTGGGACAACTGGGAGTGTTAGATGCATGAAAGTCCAACAGTTGCGGTTTAATCAAAAGCGGCCTCCACTGGGCATCGCTCCATCCTCCCCGACGGCTCCAGCGTTTCCAAGGAAGCTGGCGCCCCAGATGCCAGCAATTCCCCACATCCCAATTCGCCAGCCGCGATAGAGGCCATGGATTCCCTGGCCTTGCCGTTTCCTCAGCGCAACGGGCTTGTTGAATAAGGCCTGCGCCCTCTCAGCCTCTGGGTTCGGTTGAACACCCTCCTCGTAGATAATACCCCACATCGTTCCGACAATACCCCTATATATACGGGGTGTCGGAACGATGGTTTCGACCTCTGGGGCTTCAATGACAGCCTCTGAGGGCTTCACAGAACGCAGCCCACTGGTAGACTGTTGGCGGAGGCTTGGGGACGTGAAAGTAGCAATCTGTGCTCGACGCAGCACAGTTTCCAGAGGGAACCGGATTGCCAGTTCCAAGCCGGACCCCATGAAGGTAAACAAGTTCCACATGGACGGGTTGAGGATGGGGTCAAGGGACAGGTACGATTTCAGAAAGAGTGGAGTGGTGGTCGTTATGAAGTTCGGTAAACTGGAATGGAGGATTGTGATTGGGACTAGATGAGGGGGCACCGTGCAGTTGGGAGTTGGAATTTGCCGAATGGCTCGTATAAGGGAGCGGGGTCCATGAGTGACGGGCGTGAGAATGAGGAGTGTGCGGGCTGTATCAATCGGGGAGAGGATCAATGCAGACAAGGACGTAGAGATGAATGACAGGACCAAGGTGGCAATTGGAGAGGTCGAAGTCAGAATGTCCGCGGTCATGGAGGACGAAATATCATCCTCTGGTAGTCCCACAATAGCTGACAGGAGACTGCGAATGAACGTGTTCAATGTTGGGAGGAGTAGAGAGTAAATAAATGTGGCATTGGTTGCTTTCCATGGGGATGTTGGTCCACTGGTAGTCCACAGCTGGGAAAGTACATCCATCAGGGAGCTTGGGTTTTTTATTTTCAAAGCGTTCCGGGACGGTGGGGTTGAGGTTTGAATGTAGCCGCTTCGATCAGTGATATGACGCCGAGGTCTTCGAGATCGTGAGTTTGACGGTGACGAGACTGCAGGCGCTGTCGACGTGAAGTAACTGCTCTCATCATCGGAAGATAGTGCATCCTAATTGACCCATTGCAACGTTAGCCACCACGTAGATTGTTTCCCCCACTGGTCCCTCTAGGGTGTACATAGGACTTACAACTCCCTCATCATCATCATTATCTTCTTCTTCTTCTTCTTCTCCCCCCTCCTCACCATAGGGATCGCTCCGGGAACCCGTACTTTGCCTCCGATGGCCATCCATAAGCCACTGTCCATCCTGACTGTCCGGCACGACATAAGCCTGTAGAATGGTTTTCGCGACGTCAAACGGTTGTGCAGTTAAAAGACTGGTATATTTCCAAAGTGCACGGTCCAAGGCATCTTTGATCCAGCTTGATACCGAGGGGGAGTTCTCCAAATAGTCCGAGTAGTCCAAGTCGGACAGCAGGTCGCGGGCAGAGCTTCCAAAAACATGGGCCGATGACGCATCTGGAGGGGATGAAGTGGCGTTGGAAGCCTCCAGGCCTATGGAAGGGGGGGAGTAATAAGGACGCAGAGGATTGAGTCCTTCACGAGAAGATGGCATCGTTGTGAGTATATGGAGATGAACGTCTTCTTCTTGTAAAGTGGAAAGGGCGGGTATTCTTTGTCGGAGTTTTTGGATTGTCCTAAAATAAATTAATTTACCCGTTTGAGGTCCAAGGCGGAGAGCAAAAAAGGTCAAAAAAAGGTTAAGTTGGAGGCAGCGAATGATTATGTCCGAATTTCCCGCCTTCTCCTCGGAGTTACTCTTTTTTTCTCCTCCACAGAGTCAATCGATCTTCAATTGAAACGTCCCTCTCTCAGACTTTCTTTCTCTAAAGTCCCCCTGCCTTTCGGCAATTTACTCTTCTGGAGACTCTTCACTATTCCTTCTTTTCTTCTTTTTCTATAATCCTCTATTACTCCTCCCCGGCCCCCGCCGCCACATACTCTCTAAACATGTCGTTCTGGAGAGAAACTTTCCTTAATTTGCGTCATGCCGTCCCGAAGACTGTCCCCGGAGATCGCGCATGTCGCGCCCAATCGAAACGCTTTCTTACTTATTCCTCACGGAGCCCTCGAGTGACTGCCCCCAACCAGTACACATTGCACGCTAAGAGACCCGGGTTTACTGTGAGTCAACGGCGGTCATGGAACGAATTGAACCCAGAATGCCGAAGCTTTTCTGTCACCGCGGGTGTCCAGCATGGCCACATCACACCACCGAAGCCTGGAGAGGAGTAAGTCATGGCCTAGCTATGATGCTATCTCGTGGAGCATGCGCTGATGTGACTCGTTGCAGGCTCAACATCTCTTTCATTGACAAGGATGGTGAGAAGTACGACTTCCAGGTATCCGAGGGAGACAATTTGTTGGATATTGCGCAGGCCAATGACCTAGAGATGGAAGGTTCGGATCCCCTTTGGACACGGCGCAATGTTCAGGTCTGCTTACTGATTGGTTTTCCCTGCACCAGGAGCTTGCGGCGGTTCATGCGCCTGCTCAACATGCCATGTCATCGTGGAGGACCCCGACGTGTTCGACAAGATGGAAGAACCATCTGACGACGAGAACGATATGCTGGATTTGGCATTCGGACTAACAGAGACCTCTCGGCTGGGATGTCAGGTTATCATGAGCAAGGAGCTTGACGGACTAGTTGTCCGTCTGCCCTCTATGACCAGGAACTTGCAGGCGAGTGACTTTGAGCCAAAGAAATGAAGCCCGCAGGGACAATGTGCCGTGTTGTGATGGTATCTGTTTGGAGGATTCATACCGCGTTCAAGCAATACAGTGAATCAGCATTTTAGGACGAATTAGCAAAACGCCGGAGGCCACTTGTTGTGACTGTATATTGTACTATTGGGTATTCTCATCTCCATTCTATTTTGAAAGAGTCTGTAAATAGGAATAACTTTTAATCACAACGTGCAATCAAACAAAATAAAAGAAAATCCCCAACGCCTAAGAGATGCCTGGTTCTCAACATATACAGAATCTCCGTTCAGGCCTCCTCAATATTCAAAGGCTTGCCCTTCTTTCCACTAATCAGCTCGAGGAATCCTTGTTTGCTAACCTCATTGACGGCCTTCTCTCGTTCGCCAATACCAATGGTACCCTTCTTCCTCTCACCTCTGGCTGCTTCTTCTCCGCGCACTTGGGCTGCTCGAACAGCATTGAAGAGTTTCACCACACCGCGTTGAGCGATCTTTCGAAGACGCTTCTCTTCCTCAGCCACAGCGCCAGCCTCTCCTCGTTCGATTCCCAGAACATCACGAATCCGACCGCGATCTAATTCTTCCTGCTTCTCGGCACGCAGTTTAGCTCGTGCTTGCTTGTCCAATTTCTCGTCAGCAAAATCTGTGCTGGCTTGCGTGGCTGTTTTACTGCGTGATAGGACAGGATCTGCTCGGGCAGAGGAAGGTAGTTTTGTCGCCAAAATCTTAGAGATAGAGGTAGAGAACGCCGAAGGATCGTTCCGTTTGGGGACAGCTCTGTGGTCCGTAGTTGATGTCGGCATAGAGACATCAGAGTCGTAATCATCATCCTCATCCTCAGCGCCAGAAGATGCGTCTGAGCCTGAAGCGTTATCCTTTTCATCCTTCTTATTGTCACTGTCAGCCGACTCGTCGCTGTCGTCGCCGTCGTCGTCGCTGTTCTCTTTCTCCTTTCTGTTCTTCGAAGCAATTTGGGATTTTGTCTGTTTCTTCGGCTTCTTTACTTCGACCTCATCCTCGTCGGAATCTGCTAGACTGACAGCTTTAAAATCGGTTGGTTCGTCATCTTCCGCCTCATCGGAACTGCTGTGGTATTCGCGCTGCTTCCTAAACTTCTTTTGAGGCCGACCAGTTTTGCCCTGCAGACCTTCCAAAACCTTGCGCTTCTTTGCTGTAGTGGATAGAGGCATGGTAATTAAGGTAATGTCTAAATTTCAACGTTGGTAATATTTTCGTGTTGATATATAAATTGGTCGGTCTTTTTTTCTTTTTCTTTTTCTTTTTTTTTTCTTGGAAGTCTCGAATACATCAAAGGCGGAAGGAACAATGATGTCTCTAATTGGCTGACCGCCCGCTCCAGACTCTCCGCACTGGAAATGATTGAGATTAGTGGCCTCTCCAACATCCTACCTATCGACCAAGCATTGCCATTCTTCATTCTGATCACCTAACTTCCGGACTCGTTGTTCCTTGTTGTTTATAGTGTGATACCTACATTTGTCTTTTAAGAGATTTTCAGCCATGGTCCTTCAAGATCTCGGGCGGCGTATCAACGCCGCCGTCAATGACCTAACTAGGTCCAACAATCTAGACGAGAAGGTGGGCTGCCAATATGTGTACTCAACGTTCAAGTAGGTTTCGCGCATCTGACACCTTCTAGGCCTTTGATGAAATGTTAAAAGAGATCTGCGCCGCGCTATTATCGGCCGACGTAAACGTCCGTCTCGTCCAGTCACTTCGGAAATCTATTAAGTCCAGCGTGAACTTCGCCTCCTTACCCCCCGCCGTCAATAAGAAGAGGTTGATTCAGAAAGCGGTCTTCGACGAATTAGTTGCTCTGGTCAATCCACATGCAGAGCCGTTCCGACCCAAGAAGGGCCGGTCTAATGTGATTATGTTCGTTGGTTTACAGGGTGCCGGTAAGACGACAACGTGTACGAAGCTGGCTAGACATTATCAGATGCGGGGCTTCAAAACAGCACTTGTCTGTGCGGATACCTTCCGTGCCGGTGCGTTCGATCAGCTGAAACAGAATGCGACCAAGGCCAAGATCCCTTACTATGGAAGTTTAACGCAGACCGACCCTGCAGTGGTGGCGGCTGAGGGTGTGGCTAAGTTCAAGAAGGAGCGGTTTGAGATCATCATCGTGGATACTAGCGGTCGTCACAAGCAGGAGGAGGAACTTTTCACGGAAATGACGCAGATTCAGACTGCTGTCACCCCGGACCAGACTATCTTGGTCCTCGACAGTACGATCGGTCAGGCGGCCGAAGCCCAGTCGGCGGCCTTCAAGGCAACGGCTGATTTTGGTGCCATCATTATTACGAAGACGGACGGTCATGCTGCTGGAGGTGGTGCTATTTCCGCTGTAGCAGCTACACATACTCCCATTATCTTCCTCGGTACAGGTGAACATATGGTGGACCTTGAACGATTCGAGCCGAAAGCTTTCATCCAGAAGCTACTGGGCATGGGTGATATGGCAGGATTGGTCGAGCACGTCCAAGCCGTGACCAAGGACTCAGCAGCAGCCAAGGAGACCTACAAGCACATCTCGGAAGGTATCTATACGGTGCGCGATTTCCGAGAGAACATTTCCTCGATCATGAAAATGGGTCCCCTGTCAAAACTTTCTGGCATGATCCCTGGCTTGTCCAATCTCACTGCTGGGCTAGATGACGAAGATGGCTCTCTTAAACTCCGCCGCATGATCTACATTTTTGACAGCATGACTACGGCGGAGCTTGACAGCGATGGCAAGGTTTTCGTGGAGCAGCCCAGCCGTATGGTCCGCATCGCTTGTGGTAGCGGCACGACCGTGCGCGAGGTCGAAGACCTTCTGTCGCAGCACCGCATGATGGCCGGTATGGCCAAGCGCGTCGGTGGGCAGAAGAAGCAGATGCAACGAGCCCAGAATATGCTTAAGGGTGGCAACAAAGAACAACAGCTCGCGGCGATGCAGAAACGCATGGCCTCCATGGGTGGCGCAGGTGGCGCAGGTTTCCCTGGAATGCCCGGTATGGGCGACATGGCCAAGATGATGCAAATGCTCCAGGGACAAGGCGGCGGCGGTGGCGGCGGCCTGCCAGGCCTTGGAGGTATGGATCTACAGGGAATGATGAGCCAAATGAGCGGATTGATGGGCGGAGGACGCGGTAGAGGACGGTGACTTTTCTTTTCATGTCATTTTTCTTTTCTCTCCTGTATCTGTTTGTTACGTGGTGACACCGCTTAATGGGTCATGATTGATCGATTATACAGCATGTGGATGGTGTTGGGCGCGTATTGTTTTCATTGCCATGGTATAATTTTAACTTCTTCAACGAACGATACACATATGACGTTTTATACGTCGAAAGGTTGCAATATTGACGGATATCTTACCATATTGTACATTAACATGTTTGCCGTATGAATGGATACATTATCGCCAGGGAAAATTCGACAATAATATGATTTTATCTATACCACTTGTCCGTATTCAGTCGAGTCTTTCTGCTGTTCCCGCTCTATCCAAAAGTTTATAGACTTGATCCCTAACCCAGCTAATTAGCTGCCCCCCGAATTCCTCCGCCTGATTGACCAGAGCCCTGAGCTGGGTATTCCACCCAACAGTTCCACGGTTGTCCTCAAGGACTTTACCTGGCAGGAGTCGTGGGTGTTTGGCAGAGGCCACCGAGGCAACAACATCTTCATACCCGGGGAGTGGGACGCTGAGACTATATTTCCAGGCGACATCGTTGTCAACATAGAGTGAGTAGGTAAGGACGGAACTGGGTACGGTTGCCGTCTTGTCACTGGTGGTGAGTACTGTCTCATCGCGGATGTCGATATCGATTAATCCATACTTGGTGTTACCGGTTGGGATGTATTTGACCGTGACATCTTCATTGTCGGTTTGATGATAGGTCCGGATGGGCAGGTAGAACATACTGAGCGGACCAACACTGAACTCGTGCAGGCCTTCTCCGGCGGTATCGGATAGAAGTTCATCGGGCGTGTAGTCAAATGTTGGATCAGGGAACCGGGTCGCCCCAAACTCGTGTCTGTCTCCGCTGAGCAGGATGATACGAATTCCCAGCTCTCGCTCGGCGCGCCACATGGCCTCAAACACTGTGCGACGCTCATCCAAGAATCCACCCCATGTGTCGGTCGTGCCGACGTGCCAGTTCTTGGTAAAGGGAACACTAGAGGCGACGATCTTCCAGCGCACTTCGGCTGGTTCAGGACGAGACAGATATGCAAGCAAGGACTGCAGCTGCGCTGAGCCGAGGATGGTAGAGTCCGGTTGGGCGGGCTCCGAGCGATAGGTGCGTGTATCTAACATGAAGAATGACGCCGGGCCGTTGATAAAAGAGAAATAGGTTGTGTTTTCTGGCTTGGCAAAAGGTAATGCCGGGATCGGGGGATTCACACTGACGTGGTAATGAATATAGGGGTCAGCAGCAGCCAAGTAGGGAGCTGTATTGTTGCCCTTCGACCAGTCATTCTCAATCTCATGGTCGTCTAGAGTGTGAATCCACGGCAGGTCGATGGCCGGGTTACCACCATGGGAATACCATGAGGGAGACGAATACACACGACGATATTCACTGCGGTAGTGTGATACAGATGAGCCGAAGCGCTGGGGAACGTCGATATAGATGAAGTCACCGAGGAACAACATAAAAGCTGGTCGAAGCAAGGATGGCAGTTTACTGACAGTCTCAGTCATCTTCTCAATGCCCTCGATACGCAATGGGTGAGATAGCGGATTGTACGGGAAGTTTGGCTTCATGCAGCTAGATGTCAGAAAGCTAAGCCGGTTGGCAGATTTCGAACCATGACGAGGCGCGGTGACAAAAGAGCCTGTGCGATTATTGGACAAAGAATACCGGTAGTGCGAGGATGGCTTCAGGTTTTTCAAAGTCACTGAGGTTGTAAAATCCGTCGATTCATCAAGTGCATGTATAATTCCTTCTTCCACCCATTTCAAGGGGTTGTCCTGTTCCGCTTCTTGGTAGAAGACCACCAGAGGTAGTTGAGCGGAGTCTGGCTCTCGAACGAGTAAATTCGCTGTAGTTGGAGAGACATAGCCAATGCGAGAGAAGGCAACATCCTTGGCAGGATAGAAAACTACCCCACGGAGTAGAAGGTCGGAAGTGAAGAGCGTAAGGACAAGGTTGATCAGCACAGTCAGCCGGGTCACCAATGGCGATCTGGGGGAGGGCAGTCCCGTCAACAGCGTCTTAAGAACGCTATCCTTAACTAGAGGCTCTACAGACCCTGCGCCAATGTTCTGTGAGCAAATCTAGGGTTGGAGGGGAGCACCATGGGGTAGAAATATACTAACTGGGAGCGGTCCTGGAACGTTTCAAGCCATGGGGACGATTGGTGGTGGTGTTCTCATCGGCCGGCCGACTGAGCGAGAAAACTGAAGATAGATACACCACTAGCGAGGTGAAGATTAGAGGTGGGAAATGATGACCGGGGATCTGCACACGAATGAGCAGTCGTTAATTGGTAATCGAACGAACTTGAATGGACGCACCCAGCGAAGAAAGATGAAGGCGGCGAGTCTGAGTATCACGGAGCTCGTGGCCGCGGCAACTCGCGGCAAGGAAACCATAGCTTTGTGGGAACGTTTCAAGCGCGCTGTGAGATATTTAGTGTTCCTTAGGCCATGAATTCATATCCGTTAAAACTTTGGGTAAAAAGCTCAGGTGACGTGCCGAAAGGTAGAGAAGAGGACCTGAGAAATAAAGAAACAATAAAGAAGTCGGAGTTTGGAAAGGAAAGATGCGGTGGTATTGGCGGTATGACGACATAGGACGATTGATTTAATCCACCCCGGCTAGCTAGTCTCACATACATACACAACAAACACACACTAGTGATGTATGTATGTATGTAGTATGCAGTATGTACCGTATATAGTCACTACTAGTACTCATCACCCTATCACTCATTATACATATCTCCTCCGGCAATGAAACAATGTAAACAGCTGTATATAATTTCATTGACTTTCGTTTGTCTGTTTTAATGCTCTCGTCCATAAATCTCTATCGTTGTTGATTCTTGATTCGTCATATCTTGGAGACTGTTCATCGAACCGCTCGCCATAGGCCCTGATAAAAAGCCATGACCACATCCTTCATATGCATGCTAAGCGACATCTCCGCCGCCCATTGCCAGGGCTTCTCCCGCTCTCCCGGTTTGGCATTAAAGTACTCCCAGCCCATAACGCCGCCAAAGTTGGGGAACTGCTCCACCAGCTGGCCTAAGATAGGCCCGATGATCTCCCGAGGAACGTAGCCCTGCGATCCATTGCCGGGATTCGTCAACAATCCTAACACAACGCGTTGCGGCGACCATCCTTGCGTGACGATCGCCGCATACATACGGGGATCATCCGCTGGGCCCCAGCCGTTGTAGAACTGTGTATTATACCAGCTAATTTTCGACGCTCGTTGTCGCTCAAGCTCTCGGTAGTCAAACCCGGAAAGGTTACCGATCCCTAGAAGCGCCGCTGCCACCGGGGCCAACGTTATAATGAAGCCGTCTCCCAGGTCCGATTTGAGTCGATCAATAAGTCTAATGATACCTGAAAGCGACATCTCCTCCTCGACGTCTAGATCCAGCCCTTCCAGTTGATGACGCTGAATCATGGCTAGGAGAGGCAAGTAGTACCGTTCGAATTTGTCCTGATCACCGTCCAGACAGCGGAAGGAGCCTTGAGCAGCTCCTCCCAGCATTCCCATGACGCGTACCCCACTCTGTTTCAAGAGAGGCACCTCTGCCCACAGCTCATCATACATGCTATGGTGGGGAGCATCATCGTTGAGCGTAATATGACCTGGTTCAGCATTCAGATGGAAGGCGGCAATGATGATGTGCGTGATGCCAGTGTTGTTCTGCACTAGCGGTAGCGCGGACACATATTGGCCTCGATCCGGACGAAGTGTCTGGTGATAGCATATTACCCGGCATCGGTCGACTTGCGCGGGCACGGGAGGCATCGTTTGTTAGCTTTGAATGGAGGTTGGAAGTGACTGCGGGTTTGCTGCACTGGTCAGGACCAAGTCCAGCATTTCGATGAGGAGCAACAGCGGGGTAGTAGTGAGATTACAGACGGTCTCTTAGAGGGGAGGCTGCAGCTTAGCCATCAGATTTTCTCATTGCTTCGCGACCAGTTTGGACAGGAAGACCAGTGTGAACGCACCTCAGAGGGTCAATATTTTGGGAGATAAATCAGGAGGGGAATCACAGAGGCTAGAATGGGCGATAATTTCAAGAAGTACGGAGTACCGTCTTAAATCCACTCTGCGATGGTCTTGGTAAGGGGGTGGCTCTTTACAATACAGTAATTCTGGTATTTGTATTTATTACTCCGTATAGACGGGGAATATTTAATTAACATAAAGGTAGGATATTATTACTTACGCTAAACCTAATATAGAGCATAATAAACACCTGATATGGAAACCTGAGGATTTCGGCACTGGCCCCGGGCGGGTTCCCTGTATCGCCGGTCCAGGCGCGTCCGTTACATCTACATACTTACTCTATCTGCTGGTTATCGTTATCGAAGTCCACGATATACTACATGACCCATTCATTCACCCCGTCTGCAGGACCAATTATGTCGCCCTAGCCAATTGATTTTAACTTCTAGCATTCACTCATCCACCGACCGCGACAAACCCCATCATGGACACAACCTCTCACGATACAGTCGGCGCGTCCACCCTCGCAACGCCGCTCTTTATGCCTTCCTCCCCTCCGCACGTTAACCATAGCCCTGAGGGATTTCCCCAGCGTGCGCGAAGCCCTATTTCCCATCGCGCCGGCGACAACGTCGACGACGCGCGTTCGCCGACCGGCTCGCCGCCGTCCTCCCGGGCATCATCGCTTGATCGCGCTGCGGAGGAGCTCGACGCTCGCCTGGCAGATTACACGCTTGATTTTGACCAATTTCCCAGTGGCCAGTTAAGTCTCGATGAGCGAAACGACGAACCGTTCGGGGAATCGAAGCTACCCCATGAGGACCAATTGTCGGATGTGGGCGGGCCCGAGGATTTTACGGCCAATCTAGAGAAATACCTCATGGGCGACGACGATACATTTGATCATAAGGACCTGGGAGGAGTTGAGGAAGATGAACCGGCGCGGGAGGAGCAGGAGCCACCGCGACCGCAATCTCCGGAGCAAAAACAGCAGGAACAGCAGAGTTCTCAACTGCTGCAGCCTGCTGTGGAGGACGAGGCAGAGCTTGGCGAGTACAGCGAATTTGCTCCCGTTGATATGTCTACGCCGTCTCATTTGTTACGCAGGGGTAATGCGTTTTCGAAGGAGGTGACGCAGCTGGAGAACATCGAGGAAGATCCGGATGATGAGCCGGATACGGCGAGGACACCGTCGGTTCGTAGACATAAACCAACCTCCAGCACAGACCAGACGAATATGAAAGACGATTTGCTCAGGCAGATCGTGGAATTGAAACAAGTAGTTCAAGAAAGAGATGAACAACTTGAAAAGAATCACAGACGGGTCTTGGAGGCCGTTTCCGCTGGAGAGCAGATCAAACATCTGCAAACAGAACTACAGAAGAAGACAACTCTACTAGATGAGGCCTATGCAAGCCGCAACGATGATACGCTCCTGCGTGAACAGATTCAGCTGCTTCAGAAACAAAATGAAGAGAAGGAATCCCTTTTACAGAGGTCCTCGATCAGTGAAACTGGAATCAGTGCCCTTCAGGAGCAGATTGCAGAATTGCGAAAAGAGTTTCGGGAGCGACAGACGCCTACGGAGATAGACTCCGAAAGACTAGAGACGATCGCGAATTTGCGCCTGCAGTTAAATCTAGCTCAAGAGCAAATCAAAAAACGAGACGCTACGCTAGACGAGACTCTCGCTAAACTGAATGAAGTTACAACAGCCAAGGAACTGCAACTGCGTGAGAAGAATACCGAAACTGATGGACTCAAGGCCCAAATTGATGATCACCTTCTGGAAATCCAGAAGCTTGAGGCGGAGGTAGACCGCGCAAATCGCGAATACCGGACTCTAGAGGATAGGATCGCCACGCTTGAGATCAGAAATCGCCCACTAGAGGAGAAGAACAGTACACTGGAAGCTGATCTAAGTCGCGCGCAGTCGCAAGTCACCGCGCAGGAGAACGCTCTCAAAGCGATGGCAGCGGATCTCCCCTGGGAGACGGGCCGCAACACATACGAAGATATTCTGGAACTGATCAATTCTATGCCGATTCGCTCTGAAGCCGTTCCGAAAGACAGCAGCTCCGGGGAGCTAGAGCTAGAGCAGCTACGTGAGGAATTGACAAAACTACGAACCGAACAAGAACAAGCGTCATCGACGCAAAAGGCGCTAGAAACTCAATTAAAGCGGTCCCAAGAACAAGCTGCAGAGGCCCAATCCCTCATTAACTCGATTGAAGGGGAGAACACCCGTTTGTCGAAACGAGTAGAAGAGCTCAAGTCCAGCTTGGACAAGGCCTGCCGTGAGCTGAACGAGATGCGAGACGAGTACTCCGAAGCCCAGGATACAATCCAGCGTCTCCAGGAAGAGAAGAACACGCAACAACTCAGCCCTCCACCATCCCCTCCAATCACTCGTCAAAGAGAAACTGCCCTGGAAGAAGCCCACCAGGCACAAGTACGAAGCTTCCAAACCGCCCATGCCACCGCCATTTCTAATTTGCGCGCTTCCCACGCCGACTCAACCCGTAAATTAAGGAATCTCCTTGCGACCGCTGAAAAGGACGAGAAAAAACTCAAGTCCGAGCTCCAATCCCTGCGCGGCTCACGCTCCATGCAGGAGAACGAGATAGACTCTCTCCGCGCAGAGATCAAGCAACTCAAAACCATCATCAAAGTCAAGGACGAAACAGCCGCAGCACTTGATAAGAAAATTGCTCGGTCCGTCGAGAACCGCGAGAAAGTGTGGGCAGATCGCGTTGATTCTGCCCTCCGACAACGCGACCAATTCGGCAAGGCTTTTCTGTACACAGTAGGTCAGAAAGAGCTTGGAGAGAATAAAGTGAACTTTGACGATAAGGACCGGCCGATACAGGCATACCAGTATGCGTACGTGAAGAAGAATGGAAGAAAGAAGGCATAAACGGGATCGGTGTGGCGCTTTGCTTTAGGTGATTTCTGGTTGTATTTTTTGGAGTTTCCGGTCCTGGGATTGTGTATGGGATATCTATATCTTTGTTGGGTTTCTATATTGTACAAGAGGGCTTTCACCAGGGTTTGGTTTCTGGGACATTAACGTTGAGTGGTGTAATCTAGGGTCAATCAAATGAAGAGATGAATTCTTGCCTCTATTCCCATCTTCTCTTTCGTGGTATGAATCTCGTGAGTTTATATGAGCAAGAAAACAAAAAGCAAGGGCCCAAGAACACGAGAGAGGAGAGATATACGACTTTACAGTACTATCTCTACCCTTACATTAGCCATCGCCCAAGAACAATACAATGATGATGTCTAGACCACAAGCAAGGTCAGAATTAATTTCATAAATTCTCATCCTAACAATCATCAACTTTAAAGGAAAAAACTGATACATAAACACTTGATATCGGTATGTTGCTAGTATTTAGACAGGAGAAAAGAAAGTAGCCCATTCAAAAGACATAAGATCAACAAGTCCGTGTCCCATTTTATTTTGTTTTCTCGGGGCATGCCAGTAAGAACCCCTTTGCCTTCTTTTGGCTTTAGCCTGACCTGCAGGCTGTGCTATCGATCATAATGCAGCCATACTCGTACGGTGGGCACCACGATATGTGTTGGCATTAGGAACAGTGTCCCGAGTTTCATCCACCGATGCGCCTGATTCTCTGATGCTGTCTAGAGCTCCTGTAGACCCGAGACCACCGCATGTAGTGCTGCGTGGCCTTCGCGTGCTGGGATAATGGATTTCAATATCGCTCCTTCGAGACTGTGAGGACATGCGGCGTGGTTCGTACCGGCCACGGTAGTTGTACCGGCTATGCGGTTGATGATAACTTCTGGTATGTCGGGGTACGTGGGATTGCTCGAACTGATAATGCCGACTTTGCTGTCGTTCCTTAGGTCGCGGGTTATGACGAATCTGACTATCAGGCTCCACCACGGAAGCTCTGTGGCTAGCAACTCTATTGACAGGGTGCCACGCCAATGGGTTTGGTGGGACGATTGTATAACTCGGTCGGTGGCGATGGATGGTGCGAGGAATCGGTGCAGTATGAGTTGTGTTAGATCTCTGCACCTTGAGAGGCGCAGGCAGCACGACCTCAGGTGCATCAGATGAGTTCGAGGACGTTGGTCGAGCCAGGGTGCTTGTATGAGGGGTTTGACTATTCGGTGGCCTTCGGGTTTCAAAATCCACAGGTGCAGAAGCCACCACCTTTTTCTCCTGAGTAGAAGAAGCGAGGTGCTGCTCGGGATCACAGTTCCTATTCAGTATGACATTTCCTGTTTGCTTTTCAACATCTCGAGGTGTATTAGAATCGGCGAGAGCGCGAATTTGAGGGTCCGCTGATAAAGGCAATGAGAGAGGAAAGGCTTTTGGCAGATATTTGCGAAGCGACGACAAGGAAGACTTTTGTCTTTTATGGTTGAAAGTCGATGAGTCTTCTTGGCCACTGGATAATTCTGCAATGGGGGTTTGTATGTGTCGTTCGCTTATAGATCTTGAGGTTTTGAAAGTGGATGTACGTGAAATTGAATGTAAGTTGGTGTTAATAAGGGCACCGTTGTGTGTTACCGTCGAACCTGATAATGTTTCGGTATTCTCTGATTCAGGGCTCTCGTCGGGCCTCAATGGCTGCTTTTGATGAATCGGTAGAGGGTATTGGAAATTGCGCATAGTAAGTTTTTCGAACGCGTGATCAGTAGACGACGGCCAATATGGGTCGCGGGCGCCGTAGGTAGTACTAGGCCCGGGACAAAGATAAAGAATGCCGTCTTTCAGAGTGTCGCTTTCGAGGCTTGAGTTCGAGAAGATACTTTCA